ACTGAATTAAACAAAATTAATACCTAATAAAATATTAATAAAATTAATACCAATACAAGTATCCATGCCGGGCCTGTTATTTTATTTAAACAATTTTTACTACTACTACCCAGTAGATTACAAATTTTCAGTAATCAGTCATTTTCATTACTACCTTAAAAGTACTGAGGTGAGTTTGTTAAAAATTGTATCAGGACAACCTTAAAAAAAATGGTAAATGTTTTCAATCAAAGTTTTGCAGCTACCTCCTGTTAATTAGCTACAGACAAAGTTCAACTAAGCTGAATTCCGTGTTTTAAAAATCGGGCCCAACTGAATATACAGTTCAATTTTCCCGTGATACATCATTAAAACTTCTGATTAAAATGTTGAGTGTTTTTTTTTTTTTTCTGACAATGCCTTCCTGCAGCTGAAGCAGTACACAATGAACCCCAAGGCCATGCCCAGGCAACAGCTCCTTGGACATATAGACATGGACACCAGAGAGTGGGCTGATGGTGTTCTCACGCACAGCGCAAGGAATGTGGTGAAAGAACAACACGGTAGGAAGGAAAATGTTTTAAGAATACTGTTTTCTTCAATCAGCAAAACGTTTAACTTCAAACACCTTTGTGTTTGCAGATGTGAGCTCGTGGATTGTGTGTGACGGTGACATTGACCCAGAGTGGATCGAGAGTCTGAACTCCGTGCTGGATGATAATCGACTGTTAACCATGCCCAGTGGAGAACGCATTCAGTTTGGACCCAATGTTAATTTCCTGTTTGAGACCCACGACCTCAGCTGTGCCTCACCGGCCACCATCTCTCGCATGGGCATGATCTTTCTCAGGTGAGATGGACTAGAAAACTAAAGATTTTTATTTGTAGGACCTTTTTTTTTTGACTCAACGAATCTGTTCCATTTTTTTTTTACAAATTGTATCGTTAGCGATGAGGACATTGATGTCGCTGCCCTGGTGAAGTCATGGTTGAGGAATCAACCAGGGGAAAGTTGCAGCAACCTAGAAAACTGGCTGGGAGACTACTTCCAACGAGCACTGGACTGGGTCAACAAACAAGTACGGTGTCTTAAGTTTTTTTTTTTTGCATGGTGGCGCTATCCAGTATGTTGGTTATATTGTTATAAAAAAAGCTAGCATGATGGTTTAGACTAGTTGGCAGTACCTCAAAAGCTAGCATGATGGTTTAGACTAGTCGGCAGTACCTTTATAGGCAGTGCAGTTCTCTAACACCTGGAGGGTTGTGGGATCAATTCCAGGCTTGGTACGATATATATTGGGCCATATGTTTTGATGTAGCTCAGTTAGTTTTTTCAAAACTGAAAGACATACATCTCCCTCCACTGGAGGTATATTTATATTAATATAAATATATTTATTTTTTTAACATATCAAATTTAGGATGTATGATGTTTTAATCCCGTGCATTAAAGTTCCTTGTCCAATGTTGTTTTTAAATCCTTTATTTACAGATAAATTCTAAGCATCTTATTTTTACTGCAGTTGTTTAGTCACAATTTGTGTAAACATTCACACTTTATTACTCCCTTTATTTCATTTCAAGAATGATTTTGTCGTGGAGACCAGTCTGGTGGGAACAGTATTCAACGGTCTGTCTCACCTCAGCGCTGTGACGGAGCGAGGTCAATTCATTGTCGGACTCTTAAGGGGATTGGGAGGAAATCTCAACTTCAAAACACGACAGGAGTTCGCCAAAGAGGTAACACCCAAATTTTCCATTTTGGCGTATTCTGGAATTAAATTTTTTTTAATTACTGATTACTGTTAAAAAACAAATATTTCTTCGCTGTAAGCCTCCAGTCATCTCTGCTGTGTTTGCAGCTGCTGAGCTGGGCGAGGGAGAATCCACCAGACCCCCGCAAACCATTAGACATCACCTACGACCCTGACAGCGGCCACTTAGCAGCCTATGTTTTCCACCGTCCTGATGGTCTAACGCTGGAGCAGCTCTCTCACACACACACACTTCCTGTGGTAGAGACTGCAGACATGCAGAGAGGTCTTCACTGTTTCTCCCCATGGCTCACTGCTCAGCACAGACAGCCCTTCATGGTGGTTGGGCCAGAGGGCTGTGGAAAAGGGTGACTTTACATATGTTTCTTTCGAAAACACACTCGGGCATACACAGAGAGAGGAAGCGGGAGGCGAGGGAGCTGGGGGAGGGGGGGGGGAGAAAAAGAGGAAGGAAGCCGACAGAGAGAGAGAGAGGGAGAGGGGGGGGAGAAAGAGAGAGAGAGAGAAGAGGGAGGAAGATATGTGTTCCCACTTTACATAGTGTTTCTAACTGTGTTACAGAGTTGCCGCATTGTCATTGTGATTGTATTGACCGTTACAAACTATTGTAAAGAGCACCGTAGCTGCGGAGTCATTGCTGAGCTCATTATGTTCACTCTGTCGAAATGATTGCTCTCTTGATTCGATGTCAGCCTGTGTATATGCTGAACAAACAGCCTCCAGCCAGGCATCCTGTGCTGTAGTTCATCTCGCAGAGTAACATTCGGTTCAAGTGAGAAGTGTGTATTTGGAAAAAACAAACAAACAAAACAAAAAAAACCAAAACTGTCAGATGCACAGGTGCAGAGTCAAGGCAAGAGGTCGGGGTTCTTCAGCCTCTTGTGCGGAGATAATGACACGTTGTTTTGTCCTTCTTATTATGTACTTGTACACGCAGTGGTGTGACCTCAGATCATTTAGTTTGGCTTCAATAGTCCAGTAGACTCACTGTTGGTCTCTTATTCCTCTGATGCTCTGATTTATACATCAGATTTTATACAACGCGGTAGTGTGGTGCTATTGCAGGGATTTACAGCATTGAATGGAGCACGATGAACAATGTGTATTAAGTATATACAAATAATTAACCAAATAATTAACCAGTCTAATTTATTTATTTATCCTTTTTGAACAGCATGCTCCTGCGCTACGCCTTCTCTCGCCTGCGTTCCACTCAGGTGGCCGTGGTTCACTGCAGCGCTCAGACCTCATCGCGCCATGTCCTACAGAAGCTGGGTCAGACCTGCCTGCTGCTCAGCTCCAACACTGGTCGAGTGTTCCGACCAAAAGACTGTGAGAGCCTGGTCCTCTACCTGAAAGACATCAACCTGCCCAAACCGGACAAATGGGGAACTAGCAACCTGATCGCCTTCCTGCAACAAGTAAACCACGTACTCTGTAAAACAAATTGTCAGTATAAAAGTATATTATAGTCATTCTCAACAAGCGCCCTGCTGGCCAATCTGACCCACCAAACCCAGCGATCTGGCCCATTCTGGACCTTCGACAAATATAGTTGGTGACACTAGAGTATACTACCAGGAGTATACTGAGGCGTTTTTGTTCTTGTGTGTTTTTTTTTGTCATCCACCAGGTCTTGACATATAAGGGGTTCTATGATGAAAATCTGGAGTGGGTCAGCCTGGAGAACATTCAAGTGGTAGCTTCTATGTCAACAGGTGGTGCTGTTGGAAGCCATTCCCTTACCTCTCGCTTTTCCTCTATTGTGCGCATTTGCACCATTGAGTAAGTATGATGTTTAAACCACAAAGTGTGACTCTGTTTGTCCATTTTGGATTTGTGTCTTCCTCATCATCATGTCTTACCCACCGTCACTTTCCCACTTTCACCCTCTGTCTGTTGTTTGTGTTATTTTTTACCTCGCCCCGTAGCTACCCAGACAGAGAGCAGCTGCAGACTATCTATTCAGCATACCTCCAACCAGTTCTCCAACACAGCCTGGGTGGCCAGGCAGCCTGGGCCAGCACTGGAAAAACGCACCAGCTGGCTGGTTCTCTCGTTCAGCTTTATGAACAGGTAGTGAATTTGACAAAAACATTTATTTTCGAATAAATCACAAGCGAGTCAAAAAGCAAATCAGCCTTTGTATGATTCCAGGCAGTGAGGTTATATAAGTTATGGTGAATTTATTTGATTGCAATAGACCAACTGTAACTCTCTCAATGTCGCAGTGTTTTTTTTCCTTATTTTAGTAGCCAGAAACTTAGGTCTGGATCCATCATTAAAGTGCAGCTGATTGAGGAAAAAAAAAAGCCACTGACGGTTAATGAATATGGCTTGTTCCAAACTCCAAACACGACAGAAAATGAGAAATGTTCGGAAGGCTTAAATACCTGGGTCGTTGTCTGAATCATCACTGATGCGTCATTGGTTTCTCTCTTTTTCTCTCTTTGTTTGTTTTGTCCCTCAGGTAAAGGCCAAGTTTACAGTAGATGACCACAGTCATTACCTGTTCACCCCCTGTATTCTGACAGAATGGGTCCTCAGTCTGCTGCGATATGACCTCGCTGCAGGTAATTAAACATCCCTGTGCACATTAGTGAGTCTTAAAAAAAGGGAAGGAGTGGTATAACTATCTGTGAGTTCTTACACTTAACTTCCCTTGTAGTTACTCTGTGAGCAACCCAACAACTCATGAAACAGCCACTTAACTTTGAAGGGTGCTCTCACACAAGGGCCGTTGTACCGTGCCCAAGCATGATTGCCTAAGCCTAACCTCTAAAGCGCTGATCCTAGCGCTAGTGTGAGTGCAACCTTCAACTTCCAAATGGCTGAAAGTGGTGGGCCAAAAGGGCAGAACACACGGCCAAACTTGCACACATGTGTGGTTAAGTACATAGAGTATATGCGTATATATTAGTGCGTTTTAAGAAAGTCTTTCGTCACTGAAACAACACGGTGGAAACAGGAAGTTATGATGACGCAAGCATAAACCGCGGCCAGGGCAGGCTTGTCTGAAGGTGCCAAAATATATCTGAGAAAGACTCACGGATAGTGATTTGCCAAAAGGTTAATGCTGAAAATTCAAGAGGGGGTGAAAAGTACACTCATGGAGTCTGTCAGCACATGTTTCACTCAGATCTGTTTAGATTCCTTGCACTCATCGCAACTGTACTTGATCTGCGTTATGAAGATCATTACTTAGTACACTGTCAGAGCCATAAATGCAGTGGTACTAATAATTGGCATAATAATTTCTTTCTGTTTTTCAGTTTTCGGGCTTGGTTTCCTCATTTTCGGGTTGCGATTTCAGCCTTTACTTTTACTGACTGTGGAGCTGTAATGTTGTTCCTCCAAGTCAGGGTTGTCATCAATGTGTTTGCCCTGAGATGGCCAGTAGTGACTGGAAGAGTATATATACATCACTCTTATGTTGTTACCAAAATCCCATTTTATCAAGCTATTTTCAACTTTCACAAACTTTTCAAACCCTTCAAGTGAATAATATAAATACTGTAAAATTGCCATTAACAATATAAACACCGATATCATCGAAAATCAGGCTTACATTTTGTCACTGTTAGGGCTAGGGTCACTGGTGGTAATTCTGGGCCTTACAGAAGGATATGACTATTAGGTAACACACTTAAGAACATCAATATATTTCTGGATACAGTGCAGAATTCATATATATTGATAATGGATATTATTATTGTTATTGCTCTTGTTGTTGTTTTTATTGTTCTTATTATTATTATTAGAATGATCATTATCCATAATATATTCATGTAATGTTCTAATATGGGTCCGTGTCAGTCAGCTCTCCTATACTACACCTCTGATTAGGACCACACACAAGTAAGACGCAGTGGAACTACTGGATGTTCAATAAATAAGTGAACATGAAAGTGTTGTTTATTGTCATCGTGGCACAGCACACCACTGCACACAACGAAACGTGACCTCTGCCTTTAACCCATCACCTTAGTGAGCAGGGGGGGCAGCTCGAGCTGAGCGCCCGGGGAGCGGTGTGTGGGGACGGTGTCATGCTCAGTGCACCTCAGTGGCACCAAAACAACTGTGAGCTGCAAGAAAATGGCTGACATATAAAATACCCTGCTGGACTGTATGTCACATGACTTCCCCATGGACATATACATTTAACATAACACACGATGGATGCATTCGTTCTCATATGAAGTAAGCTGTCATGGGCCACTTAAACATGAATCTGGCCTGATGACCCTTTAATTTTTCAGAGCTTAATACTGATCAAATATGGTTTCATAATAACAGAGGAGAAACAAAAAAACGTTGTCATATTGGGAAATAATATTTTCTGTCCTATGACAGATATGCCAGCGAAGTAGCATTGAGCAGGGAAATCATTTTCTGAAAAGCCATGGGCAAAGATGGTGTTAAGCATGACAGCTTGACCCTTACAGTGTTTTTTTTTTTCCCCCAATGTCATTAAATGTTAAAAATCCCCAGAGTGTCAGTGAGTGTTTTTTCAGGATTTTTTTTTATATTATTTTAGTTCTTTTTAATATAATGTGACAGACTCAGTTCGAGCCGTGGGCTTCTGCTGCCCTCACCTCTCTCTTCACGTCTGGCAGCACTTTCTGGAAAGTAAATTTAGTCTCAACCTGGGTGTTTTTTTTAAAAAACTTTTTCTTTTACTTTCACGGAGCTGTGACTAATGTTGAGTCATACTGTAATTACTGGTAATGTCTCTCTTGTTTTTAAAAAGGAGAACATACTCATTGTACCTGTTCTACTGTTTGAAAAGAATTTAAAAAAAAGTTCTTTTTACATAATTCCTTAAATGTTTTTACATGTCAGCATCTCATTTAAAGACATTTCTATGTTTCTTTTTTTTAATTATTATTTATGATATAATCGAAATATCTTTTGTTATTTATTCCAGCTCAGTCTAATGTGACAGACAGTGTGTTGGAGGTGGTGGCCTACGAGGCCAGGAGGCTGTTCAGAGATCGGCTGGTTTCCTCCAAAGATCGCCACACCTTTGACAACTTCCTGTCTTCCATTATACGGGGAGACTGGAGCTCGGATGTCTTAGACAACGTGACCGGTATGATGGATCTAGATCTACTCTCTAGCTACACAATCAGTATAAATCCTATCAGGGCAAAGGACTTACACCTCACAGTTGTAAATTCGTTGCCAATATTTTCAACTCCCATAAAAAGCTTTTTTTAGTATGCAGTTCCTCTACGGTGATTCTGTCTAGTATTCTGGTCCATTTATCCTAGTTTTCGATAGTTGCTATAACAATGAACAGATATTTGCATAGAACCGACATAGTTGTCCACTCACATGTTTGGTTCTTTAACAGCACAGACCGAAATGCTTGACTAGTACACAGAATTCGTTGCCAATATTTTCAACTCCCATAAAAACCTTTTTTTAGAATGCAGTTCCTCTACGGTGATTCTGTGTAATATTCTGATCCATTTGTCCTAGTTTTCGATAGTTGCTATAACAATGAACAGATATTTGCATAGAACCGACACAGTTGTCCACTCGCATGTTTAGGGCTCCCATGTTTGGTTCTTTTACAGCACAGACCGAAAAGCTTGACTAGTACACAGAGTTCCCTCCAATACATTCATCAGTGACTGCTGTTTTTTCATGCGGTTAAAGTGGCTGCTTTAACAGCTTCGTTAATGATCTTCAAAATTGAATTATCATATCATGATCATGCTGCCAGTGATTGGCTGTAATGTTACACATGATTTAGGCATGCACTAAAATATACAAATGTGGTTACCAGTTTTTTTGTTTTTTTTTGTGGTAACGCCCAGTTCCCTCCAATACATTCATCAGTGACTGTTGTTTTTTCATGCGGTTAAAATGGCTGTAACAGCTTTGTTAATGATCTTCAAAATTGTCCGCCCTCTGATCAACACCATCTTATCATTACTGTGAGCTGCTGTTGCTCAGAAACACGACGGGGCAGAATATCTGCAATAGCAACGGTGGAACGGCATGTGTTTTAAGCGGAGCTCCCGCACAGACGCGCACACACTGCTACACACTGATGGCTGCTTTGTGAACTGTCAGCCGTCGAGTAGTTTAATTGTTTGTATTCTAGTCATTTTTCTCTGCCAATATTTTTTTTCCCCATTACCATAAACCCGTATTGACTCAGGTACACCTCAGTTGCAAGTTTATTAAATATGTAAAACCCTTGGAGTGAAATGTCTCCTCACAACCATGCTCAGATGTTCCACCTGCCTGAACACCTAACACCTGTCTCACTTGGTGACAAGCTCAAATTGTGAGATGTTGTGAAACCAGGTCAGAATGGCTGTCGCACAGCTTTAACATTCATTTTTTTGCATTTCCCACATTTATCTAAGTGCTACAGCTTTCTACTTTAGTCACAAACACTCTTACTTCTGTATGACTAACTGTTGTTTTATGTTGTCTCTCCTCTGTACAGATGGTTTCTATGTCACATGGGCGGCCTCAGAGGGAGCTGTGATGGCTCCGGGCCAGTCACTACCTCCTCATGGTAAACAACTGGGATGTCTGGATTCTGCTGACCTAAAAGAAATCATTCAGAAGGTACACAGCAAAGAACCGTGTAGTCAGGCATGGAGGAAATATTTGGTTTACCATTTCAGTTGTGCACTCCTCTCCTGCAGGGCGTGACACTGTACAGCCGTGATAACAGGGAGCTGGATCTCCTCCTCTTCAGGGAGGTGTATGACTTTGTGTCCCGCGTGGATCGGGTCCTAAGCAGACCTGGTGGCTCTATGCTGCTGGCGGGCCGCAGCGGAGTTGGGCGGCACACCGTGACGAGCCTGGTGTCGCACATGCACGGATACACATTGTTCACACCCAAAATGCCTCGCGGTTACTCTCTGAAGCATTTCAGCAATGATCTCAAGACGGTAATGGGCGATTCTTTCCTGCCGCCACAGTTTCCAAAGGAATTTTGGTGTCATTCAGGCTGTGCTGTGTCGCATTGGTACGTGTTTCACGTGCATGTTTATACAGTATAGTTGAAGTACTGGTGCGTTTGTGTAGGTGATGCAGCTGGCAGGTCTGGAGGGTCATCAGGTCGTTCTGCTGCTGGAAGATTATCAGTTTGTCCACCCAGCTTTCTTAGAGATGGTCAACAGCCTGTTGTCATCAGGTGTGTTGAGTTTGTTCTTATGTAATCATATTGCCTGACTGTCACAATCAGCACATGAATTTTAATAATTTGTGAGATTGAGAAATTAACTCAATATGCCATAATTCAGCTGTCCACGATTAATTGTGATGAATCACTTTCGGAAGTTCACGTCATTTATCTCTTCCAACGTGCATTTCTAACGCACAGTCAATGAAGTGTAAAGCTGAGAAACCTCTGCCGCACGTTCTCATGACCTTGTTTGTATCTATGTGACAAATTAAAGGTGAAGTTCCAGGCTTGTACTCACCAGAAGAGCTGGAGCCTCTTCTCTCCCCTCTGAAAGATTCTGCCTCCCAGGATGGATTCAATGAGCCGCTGTACAACTACTTCTCACACAGTCAGTTTTGCATTTGGTTTCTCCTTCTTTGTTTGTTTGTCCTTGTCCGTGGCTGGCTCTGCTTTTGTAGAATTAAGTCCATTCTGCTTATATTGTCAAAGTATATCGTCTCACCGCTCCTCCTTCACTGTTTCACCTCAACAACTGCTCGTCTTCAAGTCGTTCCTCTCTCATCAGACCATGTTGTTTTTTTTCGCTCAGGGATCCAGCAGAACCTTCACATTGTTCTCATCATGGATTGCTCCAACTCTAACTTCACCATCAACTGTGAGAGCAACCCAGCTTTCTACCGCAAGTGCTCAGTCCAGTGGATGGAAGGATGGACAGAGAGCAGCATGAAGAAGGTCAGAGGACAAAGATATTAAAGCAGCACTCAAATGTTGTCCATGCTTTATTCAAATATCTGTTAAATTGTCTCCATTCCAAAGTACTTCCACCCATTCTAAGTTTAATCAACTCCGCCTTCTCAGATCCCTGAGCTGCTTCTTGAAAGGACGAATGGAGTAGGCGAGGAAAATGTAAAAGAAAAAAATACCAAGGAAGCAGATTCTGGTGAGATTACATTTAAATAAGTGTTGACGTTATTATAATTACAATATATATATATATATATATGTATATGTATATATACATATACTTATATATATAAATATATATATATGTATATATATATATTTATATGTATATATATGTATATATATATTTATATATATATGTATATGTATATATATATGTATATATATATATATATATATGTATATGTATATATATATGTATATATATATTTATATATATATATGTATGTATATATATATATATATATATATATGTATATATTTTACCATGTTTTTTTTTTTTTTTTTTGGTTTGGAAATGCCATTGTTCTGTACATGTAATGCTGACATCTAACAGTGTGTGCTCACCACCTGCATCCTGATCCTGCAGGATCTGGTCAGGCAGACTTGTGTCGACTGTTCCTAATGGTCCATGAGTCATGTAGGGAACACGGAGCAACACCCAGTCAATACATGGCCTTTCTGCACATTTACACTGCACTGCACAGCCGTAAGCAGAGCCAGCTGACAACAAGACAGCAGCATTTACAGGTACGGTACGCATGCAAGGCCAGGCAATTACTGCTAATTGATTCCAGCTACTGCGTTCTCTTGAACGACCGCCGTCATCGTCAGTCTCATTAACAGCTTGTAAATAAAGACATTTTTTGTTTGTTTGTTTGTTTGTTTTGCAGGCAGGTGTATCCAAACTGAATGAAGCTAAAGCGTTAGTTGATGAGCTAAAGAGACGCGCTGCGGAGCAAAGTGCACTGTTGAAGACCAAACAGCAGGAGGCAGATTCTGCTCTGCAGGAAATCACTTCCTCTATGCAGGTGTGTACGTTTTTCAGGGAGTGTTTGATAGTGCTAATGTAGACATTTTTTGTTGTCTCTCTGCTCCTTTCCTCTTCTCTCCTCTCCTCTCCTCTCCTCTCATCTCCTCAACTCCTATTCTCTTCACTCTTCTTCATTCCTTTCCTTCCCTTCCCTTTTCTCTCCTGTCCCTTCCGCCCCTCTCCTTCGTCTCCCCTTCGTTTTCTAGTCTACTCTACTCTAGTCTACCCCTTCTCTACCCTCCTCCTAAGATGGATTAATAACAATTTCTTAACTTTTTGTACCTGTCATTAGTTTGTAGTTTTGCATCTGTGTGTACCTGTGGCATTTAATATGCTCAGGCTTCACATCACATCATCATATATCATATTATCTTCTACCCTGCTCTTATGGTTGGAAAATGTATAGATGACAGGTGTTAAGTAAAATGTATATATTTTTTTGTATTTGTGTTGTTCTCTGTGGAGAATAGTGTAGAAAAATTACAAACGTAGAAGAGTCAGGGTTTGACTTGACTATTTTGACTCTGGACACTGTTTTTCACAGAGATGAAAAGGTGAACAGATATAGACCCAGGTTTGGAGATAAGAGGTAAAAAAAACTAAAGAAGTTGGGGGAATTGAGATTGTAAGCTGGATAATAGAGGAGAGGAGAGTTGAGTAAAGAGGAAGAGGTCAAGGCTTAACTGAAGGAGACTTGGAGGATTTGAGAAACAGTCAACAACAGATTAGCTTGAATGATGAAGGAGGGAGATACGATTTTCGAGAAGGTGAGGAAGTGTGGGAAAATAAGACACAAATCCCCCCCTCTTTTCTCCTCATGCTTAATGACTCCCTCCGACTCCAAAGAATGACTTAAGAGAAATCATCTGTCTTCTCACAGAGCTTTGCATCTGCAGCAAGGTTTATTTGGATATTGTTAAAGTAGGATCAAGTAGAGTTTTGTAGTTTAAACAATAACAGATTTGAATTAATATATTTCATCTTCGGGCGCAATATATTATTTAGTAACAATAACCATAGTAACAATATAATCACATGACTTTTGTTGTTTGTTTGCCCAGAATGCTAGTGATCAGAAGACAGAGATGGAGAAGATTAAAGGGAAGATGGCTCAGGAAGTGTCAAAGATTGAAGAGAGGAAATCCAAAATTGACGACGAGCTGAAGGAAGTACAGGTAAATTAACCGCAAAGATTTCGCACGTAAATCCTGCACACACACATCCACTAATATTTATATTGTATTTGCAGACTCAGTTGAATTAGTCCTGCTCGCATGCATTTGTACATTTGTATTTCTGTCTCCCCACCGCCATTATTATCCTCTAGCCTCTGGTAGATGAAGCAAAACGTGCTGTAGGAAACATCAAGCCTGAGGCTCTGTCTGAGATCAGGTCCCTGCGAATGCCCCCTGATGTCATCAGGGACATCCTGGAGGGGGTGCTGAGACTGATGGGCATCTTCGACACCTCTTGGGTTAGCATGAAAAGGTGAGAGGGCGGGAAGATGACAAGAGTAGAAAAGGAGGAAACAAAAGAATGATTAAGAGGCACCAATTAGAGGAGGCAAGAAATGTCACAATTTTTTGGTGAAAGCTTGAACGATACTATGCTACTTTAAAATCCTTCGTAGCTTTCTGGCTAAACGCGGCGTAAGAGAGGACATAGTTACTTTTGAAGCCAGCAACATCACCCCGGAGATTCGCCAGAGTGTGGAGGAGGTTCTCAACAGGAACAAAGCCTCCTTTGACCCCAAGGTGGGCTACATCTGCTAACAGAATGACAATTAGATGTATGGATTTATTGACCTCATGTTGTTGGGTTGTTTTTGTCTAAAGGTTGAGTTGCGGTTGTTGTTGTTGCGGTTGTTGTTGTTGTTGTTGTTGTTGTTGTAACTAAGTTGTGTCTCCCTCGTGTTGCTGTCGTGGCTGTGCTCAGAATGCTAAGCGTGCGAGTGCAGCAGCTGCTCCACTGGCTGCGTGGGTCAAAGCCAACGTCCAGTACTCCCATGTCTTGGAGAAGATAGAGCCGTTGGAGAGAGAACAGGCTGCACTGCTAGAGTACGAAGCAACACACCCCACAGACTCACAGAATTGTGATTGATTTCCTCACCACAGAGACACGTTTGTTATTAAACATATGCACAAACCAGAGAGGAAAAAGTGGTTTTGCCTCAGTTGAAGACCAATTTCCATCCCTTGTGTGTCTGTTTTCAGAAACTTGAGGAAAACAGAAAACAGGAAGAATAAGCTGGAGGATCAGTTAAACTCTGTGGGAGCCAAAGTCAGCGAGTTGAAGGAGAAGTATGCGTCACGCTTCACATCCACCTTTCCATTTCCTCCTTTCTGGCTTTAGGTTTAATGTATTGCACCAGTCAGAACAGTTTTGGTCGGTGAATCTACTGTAAATCACACTTGCGATGTAACCTTTACTGAACATCCAAAAATGACAAAGACAGACCAATTTCCTTTCTCACAGACAAACTTTAAAAATGAAAAACAAGTTGTGATTAAGGTGCCTGCAGAACAGTCAAGAGGTTTGGAGAGAGGCAAAGCGAGAGTTTAATAGATGACAGCGTAGCATGCTGGGAAGTTATTTACCAATTTTTATATCAATATAATAACACTTCCAAAGTGTCTGCCCTGTCATTATCTGCAGATACTACAGTCATTTCTTTAAACATTTTAAAGTCAGAGAAAATATCTGAGCACAGAAACTTGGGGATGGAAGCTACTGCTATGGGATATTAGGTTAAATATTACAGTTATTGTATGATGCTCATACGCTATTATAATAATAATTAATGTCTGGGTTGCAAAAATGTGTCATATGAAATGCTCTGATTAAGTAAAATAAGTGATATAGGTACTTTTATAGGTGCACAAAGTAAAAGTTTGTGAAAGTATATGTGGGCGAGAGATTCTGCTTGTACTTATATACTAACAAACCTGGAAGGACAACTTTTACCACAAATTACAAATGATGTGTGTTGAGTGTATTTGAGCAATGATAAGTGGGTGGACAGTAGAATTATTGGATATACATTGCACGGATAAAAATAAACATATATTGGGTTAATTGCACTAATTGTGTATATATATATATACATGCATATATAAATATACATATATGTAGATTTTTTTAATTTCAAAAATATTGTAATCATTTTAACAACATCATTTAAAATTTTAACAGTACTGCTGAGGGATATATATATATATGCATATATAAATATACGTATATGTAGATTTTTTTAATTAAAAAAAATATTGTAATCATTTTAAAAGTTAACAGTACTGCTGAGGTACACATCATTTACCCACTTCAAACCTGCCTACTTTACCCCATCCAAGATTCAAGCGCAGATGTGAGCAGCCGACATAGCCACCATCCCTTTCCCTATTTTCTAACTGGCCTTTATGTTCGTACATTCTTCATTTTACTTTCAGTGTTCTGGGTTTTTCTGATTAAACTGCTGATTCTAAAGTCTCCGCTCAGACTAATCTGTTTCTTGTTGTCACTCAGGTTTCAGTGTCACACAGCAGAGGCGGCAAAGTTGGAGGCCGAGGTGACAAAAGCACAGGAAACCATTTCTGCGGCACAACAGCTCATATCCCAACTGGATGGAGAACACACTCGGTGGAACATACAGGTAGTGTGACGCATGGGTCTGAGGATTAATAGATGGCACAACATACAAAGGGATTCATAGTGACCTGAAGTTACCCTCTCAAAGTATCCAGGGGTGTATGATTGTATATATGTGTGTGTAGCAGCGTGTGACAAGGGGATGAATCCGGCTGTCTGAGGGGGCCTCCTAGCTGTTTTTACTCCTCTCCGCAGCATCTGTCTCCACCTTAATTAAAACACTCGATCTCCAACGGACACCCACACTCACTGAAACACCATCACACTCACTGCTTTCCCCCAAAGGCTGACTTCAAAGAGCCAGTTTACTCACGACTCACCTTCAGTACTTCCATGTACTTAAACACATGCACATATAAGGAGAGGGAGCAGCCATTATAAGATAGTGAGAAAATAATGGTGGTGATTGATTTATGACAGCAGGAGGTACAGTACATTTGTCTATATTGACTGTTAAGCCATATATTTGTGATAAAGGTGCACTCATTATGTATGTATATAAATATATATATACTGTGTATATAATAGGGATGTTCGATATTCACTTTTTGGGTTATAGGACAAATTTCATTGTGTGCAGTGACAGTAATTTACCAAATAATAATTATCCTCTGGTTGGGTTTTTTCGATACTTTATACTCGGGTGTGCCTAATAATAATTATCCTCTGGTTGGGTTTTCGACTTATACTCGGGTGTGCCTTATATATATCGAAATATATAATTTCACGTTTGTTGTTTTTACACAGCCGCTAGAGGCCACTGATGCGACTTATACGGCGCAACTTATACTTAGTACTATGGTAGTATAGTTATATTGTATATAGGAATATATATATTTATACATATATATTTAAAGATAAACTTCAAAGGTAATATATACTGTATATATACTGTGTATATATGTATATATATTATATACATATATATGTATATATATGTGTATATATATGTATATGTATATGTATATATATGTATATGTACTGTATATGTGACCTTTAACGTTTGACTGAAGACAAAGATACAGAAACAGAGGTTTTTAAGAACGACAACAAATAAATAAACGTTGCCAACTAAAAACAGTGTAAACTTCCTCGTAATTTGCTTTCAATTCAGGGGGAGCTGATCCTAAGAGGAAGAGGAGGAGGAGTGCGATAAAGCTCCCAGCTCCAAAATTAATTTGCACATTGGCTTCATGTACATTTCAGAATTATGAGCAAGAAATGCGTTCTGTAAGGTGACATTTTAAACTTAGACAAGACTTTTCTTCGTCTTCTTATTCTTTTTTTACTGGTACTTTCCCCATTTTTATGGTTTACAATACGTTATCTTTACTCCTGTGAGCGTGTTCCTCCGCTAACCATGTGTCTCTTCCAATCAGATGTCAGAGATAAAGAATGAGTTAGATACACTCCCTAAGCGGGCTATGCTCGCTGCAGCCTTCATCACCTACCTGTCAGCAGCTCCTGAAGACCGTAGAAGACACTGTCTGGAGACATGGATGGACCAGTCTGGACTACAGAGTAAATCTGCTTTTCAGGCCAATGCACTAACAACAACATATGCCAGTTCAGACCACAAACACTCAAGTAAAAGGCTCATGGCTTCAGTTTGCATAATAACCACTTCTGTGTATAACCTTCCATAACTTCCTTTGCTATTTTTTTTTTTTTTTCTGGAATCTTGAGGGAAAATCATATTTTTGTTACGTGAGCTTTCACTGATTTAAGATGAATCTAGATTAATCCAATCAGGTACTTTAATAAGGTCCTTATTTTAGATTTGAGAACACACAGACATTAAACTGTCATCACTTAGATAAGCTCGGTTTAGATTCACTAAATTACTTGAGAGATGCTCCTTCCAGGCCGTCCCTTAATTAAGTGGTGGTTTGCGCCGTCCAATCAATGCGACGGCTCTGGTTGTAAATACAATCACTGCACTCTCACACACTATAAAGGCATAAATAAAGATAAATAAAGTATAACCAAAGTTTTAAAAACATACCTATGGTGTGTATCTTTGTCAGAGTTTGACCTGCGCACATTCCTGTGCTCTGAGAGCGAGCAGCTGATCTGGAAGAGCGAAGGGCTGCCCTCGGATGACCTCTCCATGGAGAACGCACTGGTCATACTGCAGGTTAGACGGATAGATTTTTTTTTTTTTTTTTAGTCGATGTATGGTGATCTGTTTGTTTTTCTTACCATGATCACTTGATTACAAGTTGAAGTCGCAAGTTCGGATAGATTTTCATTGTAACAGATTACCACACCAACATTATTGTATATCAGTTAAAAATTGAACTCCTATCATTCATCTGTCCTCCACATATCTCTATTGTGCTTGTGTGCTTTTTGTTTTTTTTACCATTGCTGCCTCCAGATCAGTGAACTCAAATTACAGGTATGTTCATATTTCATCAGTCATTCGTGTCACCCAAACTATTGTGGTTTGTCGTAGCCTCTGTCTCTTTTACTGCACATTTTCTGTGTTTATAGTTCTGTGTTCTCCATTTCTGATGTAGATACACTAGTAGATACACAAAGACTAAAACTGGCAGCACCTTAAATGATCTTAAAACCAAATAGTGTAGAAGCATGGCTGTTGTTTTCTGTTGTTAGAGTGTTGCCTGTCCGTTCCTGATTGACCCGTCATCCAGAGCTACAGAGTGGCTACGCACACACCTGAAACAGCACAGACTGGAGGTTATCAACCAGCAGGTAAACATAGACAGGGGTGCTTATTTACAAAGACTTGAAGGGCAATAAATTAAATTGCTCACTAACTGGCATGTTGAACTGTTCAAAAGGTTACTTTGTGACCATTAGAAACGGTCAATCTGATTGAGTGGCTGTGACATATGAGGTTCCTCAGGGTTCTGTCTTTGGACCCCTGTCTTAGCCTCTTCATGCTACCTTTGGGTCACATTCTGCATGATTGTTAGTTTGACTATCACAGCTATGCAGATGACATGCAATTATGTGTGGAATTGTCCTTTAAGAGTTTTTCTTCTCAATCTAATGCTTTAAATTTTTTTAAAATTCTGAAACAGATTGAGTTACCTTGTGTCTCCCTCCCTAAGCACTAGAATACATTGACAATTGAAAGTTGAAAATAGTTAGTAAGTAGAACATCCCAAAAGTTCCAAGAAATAACGATTACACGAAGGTTGTGTTTTTCAAAGAAAAATATACATTTTCAGTTAAATCACAAATATCAAAAATACTGTGTTCTTGTTTCTAGGACAGTAACTTCATGACATCCCTGGAGCTGGCTGTCAGGTTTGGAAAAACACTCATCATCCAGGAGATGGATGGAATTGAACCTGTGCTTTACCCACTGTTGAGGAGAGACTTCATTGCACAAGGTATTTTAACAATTTTTTTAGAAGTGATACGTGACCATTTTTAATTAATGTGGTAACAAGAGGCTTTAACGTCTACAAACAGCTGCTGTCAAAGGCAAAAATTCCTTTCCACAAAATATTATAAAACAAATTATCACTATCAGTGTGAAGTACGGCATGGGTAATTACGCAGTCTTGAGAAGTACATGCAATTTTGGCCCGAGTCCTTACTTCTAATATTAAAAAAATGAACTGCTGTCTTCACATCCCAATCTGTATATAGCCTCATTCCATCCTTGTTGTGTCTTTTCACAAGACAGCAGAGTGAAGGTTCCAGTTATTTTCCCCAAGAATGAAATGAATTGGCCTGAGTAATAACATTTTTGTTGGCGGGTGATGTCACAAAAGGATATAGACAGTGACAAATTAAAGAACAGCGCATGCAAGTTCACTCCGAGTCGGATCTTTGTGAGTGAGCTGCGGCACAATTACAGGAGAGTGAGAAAAGATTATGGAGGATGAAGAGGTGTAAATAAATACATAAAACACATCTTTAATAAAAATGATATTAAACTTTAATTCCTTGTGAAGTTTGGCCATTTGGTTAAAGCATCGCAAAAACAAATTTGACAAATTAAGGTGCGTTAATAGCTGTATGAGGAAAATGTTTAATCAAATTCTCACTTTAGATCCAATGGATGTTTTATTCTGATTTACATTTTAAAATACCAACCATGCTGGGCAAGTATAAACAGAGGCAGGAAACAACAACAACCTTTAGGAAATGAGGCTGAGTCATAAGGCTCCGGTACATGCAGAAGGTGGATGGTTGTTTATTTCAAGCTCTGAAAGAAAGTCTGGTAAAGGCCAAGTTTTTCATTTCTAAGTGGTGTTGAACAGGACTGGGGGGAAAAAAATAGTCAGAGACATGTCTTGGCAGCATCTCGCTGCCGGAGACACAGGGACGAGGGTAGAATGTGTGAACTGGTAAAGATGGAATTTATTGTTGATCTTGATCAAAGAGAACCGCCTGTCTTTCCATATGTCCATCCTTGACGCGTGTCGTATAAACACACACCCGCAGGCCCCAGATACGTGGTTCAGATCGGAGACAAGGTGATAGACTACAACGAGGATTTCCGTCTCTTCCTGGCGACAAGGAATCCAAATCCCTTCATCCCACCTGATGCTGTGTCCGTGGTTACAGAGGTGAACTTCACCACCACCAGGGCCGGCCTGAGAGGACAGGTAACCTACAGTGAAACAAAGTAGATGTGAAGGGATTTGTTTTCACTGTACCTCCAGGAATGATCAACGGTACCGATTGTTGTTTGGGCTTGTATTCCAGATGTACTTATTTTTCAAGTTATTGAGCAAATACATGTTGTGCAGCAAGTCAGTTCCAAGAGGAAGGATTTTCCTTAAAGACTATTAACATTTGTATGCGTGTGTGTGCGCTTGTGGCTGTACTTGCGGGGACATTTTTTTTTGGCCGGCGTCGGGGTTACTCTTGTGTTGGGATAATTGTCCTTATAGGGATTTTTCAGCTCTCCACTGAAAGAGAGAGACTTTTAAGGTTTAAGATTTAGGATTTAAATTATGGTCAGATCACACGATTAAGATTAATAACAGGTGAAGAGTAACAAATTACATGAACTCTTGTTACTGTAATTGAGTAGTTTTTGTGAGTATTTGTAATGTTTTTGTTTATTGGGAATAATCAATTTATCGGGAATAATCAGTAATTTTACTTTTACTTAAGCACATTTTGATTCAAGTACTTTACTTCGCTACATTGAAAAAGTACCCGTTACTGAGTAGAAAATCAGATGCGGGGATAACCAATCTACGTAAACTGAAATAACGAATCAGTTTATATTTGTATGTGTATATACTGTACATACAACCCAGGTGTCTGACCTGAGGTTGAGGTCGCTGCAAACGCATGCTGTGGGTTGAAATGGTATTTTAAGCTTTAGGTTGCTTCAGTAAAATGGAAACATGTGTATCGACTGCACGTCAGAGCAACAACAAATCTATTTACGGTGGAACCTTTGGATAAACAGTTCTGACAGCGCTACAAAAAAGTACGAAGTCTACTCACTCTGTCCTTTGTATTTCTATCAGCTCCTAGCCCTGACCATCCAGCAGGAAAAGCCAGAACTGGAAACCGAGAAAACGAGACTCCTTCAACAAGAGGAAGACAAAAAAATACAGCTGGCTCAGCTTGAAGAATCACTGCTGGAGGTATGTACACACACACACACACACACACACATTTTACAGTCATCTGTGGAAGGAAAAACAAGCTGGAGGAGGAGGCTGCAAGTGTTTTTACCCTAATCTTTTATTGAATGCATCTTTTTAATGAATAGAACATTATAGAGTTGTTCAAATGTTAGAAAATCTACACTGGAAACTGTAACTTAAGCTGCTTTCTGCGGCTGTTAGCCTCGGTAGAACTTAGAAGACAGAATAAGACAGCGGTTGCAGAGCCAGCAGGAGAAATCTATAGTGTGGCAACAAGGATGTGATTTGTCACTGGCTTTCCTCCCCGGAACACAATCAAATGTGTTTGATGGAGCAGCAGTCAAGCTGGAAACTCTAATCCTGGGCATTGAGCCCATGTATATGTAGTGATGCTGCAGGGGGGGGTGGGCAGTAATTCTTTTCTTGCTCTATATTGACCAGCCATCTTATTTGGTGGCTACCTGAGCTGACCTTGAGAAGTTTGTAATGAAACCAATTCACAAAGTTCACTCCACTGCACATCATTTCACCAAAGACTGAAACTTCAGGGGGTTTTCAAGGCAACAGACTTTCCGTAATTTCCATCCACGGTAATAAGGATATAGAACCAAGATTGTCAATCAATATTCCAAGCAGACTCCAAGGATTTTTAAGAAGAAGAAGAAAAAAAAAACCCCTCACAACATACCTGATGCTATCAGTCTAGACGCCCATAAAAAGTCAATGGCCTTAATGAGACAGATTTTTTTTTTTTATTCTCGAGCAGAAATGAAAGACGGACAAACTAAAACAGAATCCAGAGCTGTATGTTAGTCGTCCAGTGGTATTAGACCTGTCATTTATCTGAAATTGAAAGAGCATATTCTACCTGACGTATCCCGGCCTTCTAATCTTTTTTGGAATTTATTTGACTATATTTCATCACTTGGGTTTAAAGGTTGAAATTGTACTAATAGAGGTCTGGGAAAACTTAAATAGGAAAAGGAATAATATCTGACCACGATGAAAAGACAACTCTTTTGTATAATGCGATATCTAGAGGAAATCAACACCTTCGAAATTTAACTGATACACATGGAATTCTTTGCGATATCTGTGATTTACCTCTTTTCCCTCCTTAATTTCCTTAATTTGTTTGTGTGGATCACTCAAAGGGTCGATCATCGAACCTCAGTTGTGAACATTTTCGTCCAATTCAGCAGCAAACATACTTTATATTGGACCAGGATTCTTATTCACAATGCATCATTTTAAAAATCCTCCTCTCTTCATAGAAGATACATTGCTTTCGCATTTTTTTTTATGAAAATCATTTCACTTTTATTTATGGATATTTAAATACAGCTACAAAATGTGTAGAAAATCTCAATAACTATATCCTGTGTCAAATGGCACGACTGTAGAGTAAAGTCTGGGAATGTGTTCTGTTGAAGTCCGTCGTCTGTGAGGACGATGGGAATGCGTTTCAGTTGAATTGTTTGTTGACAATTCTAACATAACTCAAGGTAAATAAGTGAAATAAAAACCTCTTCTGTTTTCCCCAGACTCTGGCCACAGCTCAGGGGAATATTCTGGAGAACAGGGAGCTCATCGACAGTCTGAACCAAACCAAGGCAAGCAGTGCCCTCATACAGGAGTCACTGCTGGAGTCGCACAGGCTGCAGGCTTCTTTGGACCAGGTATTGTGCTTCATTCACGCATGCACACACACACACACACACACACATACACTAAAGTATAGACTTAGTATGAACATTCCCGCATTAAACAGCCAGCCTCTGCGGCGACACAGACTTCCAACATCTCATTGAAACTAATGTGAAACAGTTCCAACCCCCGTGCGGTGAAAGATCATTGTGGAAAATAACCAATTTCAATTTCACTGGTCTGAAAACCACTATTTAATCACCGTTTGTTTTTGGAGTGCGTGGTGTTGGAACATTTAAATACTCTTCCACCAGGTGGCAGCAGATTTCCTAATATGTGTAGCTACCTGTTGCCCTTCAAACAATGGAATTAGTGATGCTTTGGCTGTGACAGCAGCAATAGGGTTAGGCTAAATATCTTAAATAAAAAGGAATGAAATCCAAACGGGCTCTTGGATAAAATTGACAAAAAAAGCAAAAAAAAAAAAAAAAAAAAGGCTGACAACAATACAATGAAAGTTATAGTTTCTTTGGATTGTCTTTTACTGGGAAATCGACAAAGCTGATTCCATAATGCTCGCTGTGAAAGCTGTGAAATAGTATCATGGTTTCTAGCAAACAAAAATACTCTCTCCAAACTGATTGTCTTTCCTGTGGGTATATCAGCGGTGTGTTCAACTAAACAGGCATAGCATTCACACTGAGTAAGTAAATTGTGAGTTAATTTAAAGGCTACAGTTATTATATTCTTTCACATCTTCTTTTGTGCTGCTTTTGTTTGGTGGTGTCATGTGTGAATTTTTGTCATTTAAACAGGCATAGCATTCACACTGAGTAAGTTAAATGTGAGTTTTGTAATTTAAAAAATATGTGCTGTGCCTCAAAAGTCAAGTGTATTATTTTCTGACCGGTGAAATGATATGCATTCAACCCTATTAATGACCTGCAAAGTCATTTCAAAATTAAATATTGCATACATTAGAGGACAACTCTTTAAATATTCGATTTTTTTAGTTTAATAATATTTAAAGAAAAATCAGTAAAAGTTTGACGTTGAAGTAATGAGCTGCTGCTGATGTGTTACATCATGGCCTCTGGGGTGCAGTGTTACACCAGGACTCTTTATGATTTCCCTGTTATTTCTTTATCTTGTATTTCTTTTTGTTAAACATCCCTTCTTTCCTAATGCTCCCTTTTCTCGTTTTTCTGTCATTTAAGGTTGATTGAAATAAATTATTCTTTTTTCCCACACTTGTGCTGAGGAAATTAAATCCAGCCATCTGTTCATCTATTACATTTTTTCCTGTCTAATAATGATTTTTCTACTGTTTTTAAACAGCCTACCTTTTTGTAATGCGTTCGTTTTTCTTTCACCTCCTTTCCCCCTTTCAGGAGCGGGACGCCTACCTACCTCTGGCAGAGAGCGCGAGCAAAATGTACTTTGTCATCACCGACCTGTCAAGGATCAACAACATGTACCGCTTCAGCCTTGCTGCTTTCCTGCGCCTCTTCCAGAGGGCTCTCCAGGCCAAGAAGGTAACTTTTAGCAACTACTCTCAATGTACTGCACTGAAGTTTCCATCTTTTCATCTGCAGCCAACAATGGAAAGCCATTCTACCAATTCAAAAATAGAAATCTGCACAAATGAGTGTGGCTTAACATCAGCGTTCCCAACAGAAACGTTACTTCAACAAAGAAGTACATTTGAACTGTTAGTTAAGTGAGTCCAAATTTACCTAAAAATCCATGTTGCTCTACACCAGTGATGCTCAACTGGCAGCCCACGGGCCGAATCCAGGCCACCAAAATATCCAATCAGGCCCGCGACTATATTCCAAAATCAACATAAAATATTAATGTTAGGCAAAAAGTTGATTTTTATTCAGCCCCCAAAGTTTCTGTCCAGAAAAATTCTGGCCTTCGGATGAATGAGTAACACTCTTGTTGTCACGGTGAAAAGCCGGAGGAAGCAGAATAATTAAAAGTTCAATATGTGGAGAGCGGGGCTCGTGTTCTTGCAATGAAGTCAAAATTTGGGTATAATTAATTAATCCTTCACTTAATGCTAGCTGCCAGTGTTACTTGCTGACCACTGAGACATTTATAAAAAAAGACATTGATTAATTATGTTCTAGTCTTTACTGTTCCTAGGTACTTTGTTTCCATCTCTTGATTAATCTTTTTTTTTTTAATATAGTAATACAGTAACAGAAATATATACTGGAATATATTCAGTTTGGAACACTCAACCCAAAATTGCAGTGTACTGCATTTTTTTTCTTCTGAACAAAACCTCTAATCTAATTACAAATACAATTCATAGCTTTGTTTGGTTTCGTTTCTTTCATGAATCTCAACCCATCAGGAATGAGTTCCTGAGACCAATAATCCTTAAAGTAAATATATATCTGGAGCAAAAAATACAATGTCTTGATGAAACAGCAGGACAAAAAGAAATCCTCGTTGACTTCCTTCCTATTAATTGAACAAAAGCTCACATAACAGAGCACTGTAAACACCAAGGCAGGTCGCACAAGCAGAGAGAATAACGGCACATCTCACCATCTAATACCATCTCTCCAACCTTAATGGCTTTTGAATCCTTTTCATCTCTCATCTTGCTAATGCTTCAATGTTCGTGACTGTGTGCGTGTGTGTTTCAGGAGGTCGAGAACACTGAGGCCAGGATTGCCGCACTGGAGGCCAGCTTGAAGAGCATGGTGTATGAATACGTCTGCCGGTCACTTTTCAAGGTAAAGTGCAAACTTAAGTGTGTAAATAAAACTAATGTGGCGTTAACCACCTTTGACAAAACACCTTCGGTGACTTTGAGAGTGCTGCCTGGCGACTGTGACAGCTGAATGAAGCATTTCGCTGGAACTTAGCCTTCACAAAGGCTAAGTTCATGTTCCTGCTACAGTGTAATTATTGCAGTGGTCACAACCATTGAACATCTCGTGGTGAGGGGGAGGGCACGGAGGCCTGTGCCAAACCCTGCAGTTGTTGTTATTTTTTTCCGTGCCACTTCCTCTTCTTTTACAGCTTTTCTGTTTATTTTGCCAATTTCTCACTAATACTATCACCCCCTCAGTGGGCACTTAGAATAATTTACCAAGCCTTGGCATCCAACCTCCACAAAAAAAAGCTGGTATTCCAGCTGAGTGACCTGAATTCAGGACCTAACTCCCTGCTCTTAATAAGCCATGCTGGGGACACACATGCTCTGGTACATATATTTACAGTATATAATGTGGTTTTCTGAGGTGCCTGACTATCACTTAATTTCCAATCTCAACTACTGAGTCGATTCTTTATAACCTGCCACAATCTGGAAATGTGTCTCAGAAAATATCACAAAGTGGTAACCCCCCCATAGATTAGGAAGCTCCACCCACAATACTACTCCATCCTGCTTGAGCAGCCGTTATTATTTATTTTTTTTACTTAATTAATATGCAACTATCACACCGTCATGATGTTCAACCCAAAAGCTAAGCACGGCTAGTCATTTAGCACACGGCTAACACAATGAGCAGAGTTTTTTTCTTGTTCTGGCTTTGACTTTGGGTCAAACATATAAGGGTCAGACCACAGTTTGTTGTCTTTCTCTGTCGCTGCTCACCTGTTGCCATAGCTACACAAACCTGTCCTCAGTTCTTCTCTGTGGAAGAGGTGGGCACGGCATGCATTGGTTCCTGACCATTTAAAGGTAAAGACATAAGAAACAGGTCATTAAGGACAGTGCTGCTACACAGATATAGAAAGAATCCAGCTGTGTTCAATTCCTTTTTTTTTTTTCTAACGTTGATTTTTTTTTTTTATCTATATGGATACTAGGCTCTACCAGGACCAGAAAGGGGATAGGTGCAGTATTAGTTCCACAGGTCACACCACAATGCCCACTCAAATGTACCTTTAACTGGTTACTTTAAACTCTGCAAAAATTGACTGGTTGAGTGAAAAGAAAAATCTGTCGTGTTCAGGTTTCTTGTTACACTCCTTGTTAAGCCTTCTCTGGTTTTGTTTGCTCTTTCTCCTTCTGGCTAGCAGGATATTGACATTTTCGTCCTCCACTGTTTAATTAGTGGACTTTCACAGTTCAAAAATGCACCTAGTCCCCTCCGGCTCGTAGCTCAAAACTGGCGGACTGCAAACGCAGCTGCAGAGTCTTTTTCTAAGTCACAGCTTTATTGATGGAAAACACAACTTCTTTTTTCTTCATCTTGTTGTGGCTGAACAGATAACAAATGCTGTCCTTTCATGCTGTCTTGGCATCAATGTCCTCTCTACGCATATGATCTGGTCTCTACAAACGTCATATTTCCCAGGGAGGATCTATTGCAATGATTGGCTGAACTGAAGAAGCCTCTCTTTGCAGTTGATTCTGTCACAGCTTTTATCTTCAAATACACTGTAATTCCTATATAACTGGTGTTCACATAAAACAAAAAGGAAATACAATTCCAAATTATTGCAATTTCACCCAATTGGGCGACAGATAGCTTGGCCCAATAGCAGCTATTGGGCCAAGCTATCATCTGTACACTCTGCACGGGCCGCCCACTTTGGGAACCACTGCTCCTTACCAGTGTCACCCAACCTTTTTTGAGTCACAAAAAGTATATGTGATGAAATATAATAATCTTCTAGTTTAAATTACTTTATAATTGACTAAAATCTTGTCTTATTTAGTTGAAGACCATGCTGATATACTGCCCAGGAATTGAAGAAAGACACTCACAAAGATCTTCTTCAACAGTTTTGATTTTTGTTTTTGTTTTTAGTTTTCATAGCTCTCTGCTGCCACCTAGCAGAAGAGTATTGAATTAATCTGCCTTTTATGCTTTAACGTCTCTGCTGCCACCTAGCAGAAGAGTATCGAATTAATCTGCCTTTTATGCTTTAACAAGCAAAGAAAAAGTATATGTTATATATATATATATATTAAAGTTAAAGAAAAAGTATATGTTATATATATATTTAAGTTATATGTAATAAATAAATAATCATTTTCAGCCCCAGTAAGTGAAATTGGATCATTTTCCACGGCACACCTAATGACCTCTCACGGCACACTCGTGTGCCACGGCACAGAGGTTGGGAACCGCTGCTCTTCTATTTTCATTATTCCATTTCGTCAGAGTGAAAGGTTCAAATTGATTTACACACAGTGATCGTTTTTTTTTTTCAACTTCTGCCGAATCTGAAAATTCCTTGTAAACGATCATAATAAAGTGCAAAGCACTGGCTTAGCAGTCCTGGGTCTCATCGATCTCAAAGTCCATGCACACAATTAGTTAAGCGCATATATTTACACATTTTTACAATCCAACTGGCTGCCATTAACAGACTAATGAAGTGTCAAATATTGACCCATTCAGCAATCATTGCATCGATTGGGCTGTAAATCGTGAACGTAATCTTTCTCTCTCTCCCTCTCTCTCTCCGTCACTCTATATATAACCCCCTTACTCACAGTGTAATACATGTGAATATGAACACAAGTTACAAACCAATACATACAGTAAGCCCCTTGTACAGATTACTAGAGTAGTTGTTTCTGTGCTACAAAAAAGTGTTCCCAAAATAAGGTGTGTGTGTTAATAATGTTACATAATAATGTAAAGGGAAAAGAAAAAGTAAAAGCCACGATTAGTCTACGAAAGTTCGACACAAAATGATGATACCAACTTTTACACAACACAAAAAAATTTTTTTTTTTTTTTTTTTTTTTTGACAACCATTTGTTTGTCAAGACCGTGTTATGGCTTTTTCATTCTTTGTTGTTATCTCTCCAACTCACAGCACTGATTCACCTGACTAACCTATTGATTGAGCAAACGAATCAGGATTTTTCGACGACATATTGATTGTTGAACCGCTTATAAACAATAAATGTTGTTTTTTTTTTTTTTTTTCCCAGGACACTTATATGAGGTGAATAAAGGCGGTGAATTCAACCTGTTCACATGACGTCTCTATGCAGAAAAAAAAAAAAAATATTATAACAAAAGCTCACAAAGTTGAACTTGTCCATGCCTGTGTGTTATAGTAAATATGCACTAGGACAGATGTTGTGGCGACTGAGAATCATTATTGGTTCTGATAATAGCTGACTAAATATTAGGTGTTTTTTTTTTAATTATTCTTACATTAGCGACTGAGAATCATTATTGGTTCTGATGATAGCTGACTAAATGTTAGGTGTTTTTTTTTAAATTATTCTTACTTACATTCATTAGTAATTAAATCAGCTATTAGCTAAGGAAGAAGAAAAAGGGAAAATAAAAAGGTAGGAACAGCAGAAAAGAACAGATGGAAAAGAAAGGATGGAGGAAAGCATCAACAAAAAGGAAATACAATTAAGAAGCAAATAAAGGAAGGGAACAGTGTGGAAATAAAGGGAACAGAAGAGAAGAAAAGAAATAGGAACAGCAGAGAGGAAATAAAGGAAAGGAACAGCATAGTGGAAAAGAAAGAAGGAAGGGAACAGAAAGAGGGGAACAAGGAAGAATCGATATCACTGCTCCGCAGAGAGTGGAAATAACAGCCAGTGTGATTCATAAAAAAAAACAAGTCTTCTGGGGTTTTTTTTTTTGTGTCACTTTGTTAAATCCTTTACAAGCCCACAGGGTAAACATTGGCTGACTTGCTTATCGCTGCAGTGGGAATGCGAGTGTGTTTGCCCTTGTGTCGGCAAAATGTTAAACTGTTTTCCTCATTTTCAAAGTTGTCGGGTTTGAGCCGACTAAATAGTCAGTGTGCACTGTTCTGACGTACTGTTGTCAATAATACATCCATTTCTCTGTCTCCTCTTTCCTCTGCCTCAGGCTGATCAGTTAATGTTTGCCATACACTTTGTCAAAGGCATGTACCCCGAGCTCTTCCAGGAGAACGTGAGTGTTATCTAAAAAGACTTTTCCTGGGTGTGTTTCCCAGCCAGTACTGCTGACTTCAGCTATAATTTTGAATACACTTTAAATTTAAAATACGAATGTAAGTGTTGGATTTACACTGCTGTATACGTTAATTTTTTTCTGTCTTCCTGCGCTACAGGAATGGGACGTCTTCACGGGGTCAGTTGTGGGAGAAGTATTTAGGAAAGAAGTAAGTTGTCAACGTCTTAACTGCTGGTTCTTACGCTATTGTTTTTTTGTGTTTTTTTTACGTCTGTTTTAAGGTCTGTTTAAGTAAGGTTTGTAAATTATGATCACATATGGAAAAAGAAAGACAGAAAATAGAACTGGGAGGCTGAATATTATTGGTTGCCACATGATTGATTGTTAGCTTAATCGTCCAGTTGGATCCCGACCAAGAAGCAGGTCGCGACCTGCTTCTTGGTTGGGATCCAAATGGACAACGTCATGTCACAGTTGACACTGAGTTCAAGTTCAAGTTTAAATAATCCGAAAAGCTTCTATAATTATTTGCTGTTGCCAGTCAAGTTTGTTTGACGTTCTTGTTGTTTGTTTAAAATTTTACTTTGAATTCAGAATCCCTCATCGTTTTTTAAGGGTTAAAAAAAAAAATCCGATCTCATAAAATAAAAACACAGCTTGACAAGGATACAGTTCTGAAAAACTTGCCAAAGCTTTAAAGGAGACACAAGAAATATGTCTTAATATGTTCTGGTTGTTTAAGCCTCAAAGTTACTAGAAATTTACTATATATTCCCGGATGGTAAGAATCGTAACCTTTGACCTTCTTGTTGTAAGGCAGTGGTTCTCAATTTTTTTTTCTGCATTGCCAACTTTTTGTAGATAAAAAATATTGTACTACTACTGTTCCACTGAATTTCCTCTTTTGTGGCGTATTAAAAAAAATGGAACTGCAATAATTACGCGCCCCCCACTTTAAAAAACTGTTTTTTTTATGTGTTTGTGTACATGTGTGCGTGCATGTGTATGTGTGTGTGTTTTATCTTTGAACCTCTGTAGTTCATCTTCAATCTCTGTCTCCAGGAGTTCCCATCTTGGATTGACCCAGAGAGGCATGGCGCAATGGTCGTTTTTAAGGTAAACACCTTACACTGATGTTAACCCACACTTACATACACTCTACTGTACATTGACAATCACAAAATAAAATGTATTTAAATTAAAAAAAAAAAATCTCTCAGACCTTATAACGTGTGTCATTTCATCAACCCACTTCAACGGTTGCTACATTTCCTTCACAGACGACGTTCCCGTCTCTGTACCCGTCCCTGTGTTTGAGTGACTCAGACCTTTGGCTGTCCTTCTCACAAAGCTCACAGTGTGAACAGGAAATCCCATCATCCATTGCCAAGAAGCTTACTCCCTTCCAGCAGGTCAGCTTTCAATCAAAGCCACTCATTTCATCAGGCGAATTAAAAAGATGCCATTTAATACTGGGTATGGAGGGGGCTGTGACAGAGGTGTGGGCTTCCTTTAATATATCAAAGTTATTACCCTAACAACTAATGACATTCAACTCTTCTCTATTAGAGGTATAGAAGACGAAAATGTAGTTATAGAAGCAGATAAAAAGACACCGGCATATTCATTTTACACGAGGACTCTCAAACCCACACATCAACAATACGGTTGACCTCGAAAAGTCAGATGTTACAGATATAGCCAGTATATAGAGATATAGATCAGTAATTCCCAACCTTTTTTGGCTTGTGACCCCATGTTGACTTCACAGATTTCTGCCGATTGGAGAGACATTTTTTTTTTTCCCAGTCACGTGATCTTAGCCATCAATCAAGATGCGCCAACTCAGATATTTATTTGGACTCGATTTATATTCGTGAAATTAGTTGAAAAAATGTATATTTATTTAATTTGTCTACTAGACATTTAAGGCGACCCCATTTAAATTCCAGGTGACTATACGTGGAGTAGCGACCCAGGGTTGAAAATCGCCGGTAAAAATGTAACTCATCATGACGTGTTAATGCTGCTCGATGGATCGACTATTATTTATTCAAGTTACAAATATTGAACATTGTTTTGTGTGACAACAAAACCTTTACAGCAGGTTATAAAACAAACAAACAAACAAAAATTCAAGTAAATTACATAATCAGACAACAAACAGATATTTCAGTTCAAAATGACTAGGGTGGAAGTTGATGAGGTGACGACGCCTGTCCTTGAACACGCCAGCTAGATCTCTGCTCATAGATCTGTCATCATTATAAAAGGTGTAATTTATGCTCAGTATACACTCTGAAGACTATATTATAAGGCAATTAAACACCTTTTAAGCTCTCACAAGCCACACTAAAGGACATAGCGGGCTCCATTTGGCCCACGGGCCTCGAATTTGACATATGTGTTTTAGAGTTATATCAATTTCCTTATTAAAAATAATAAGAATCTAAAATAATAAACTGATGGACACACCTTTTTTTCTCCCTACATTTCTGGTCTCCCTGCTTTACTTGCTTTACTCTCCATCAGCTGTTACTGGTCCAGGCACTCAGACCAGACAGACTGCAGAGTGCTATGACAGCGTTTGCCTCCCAGGCTCTCGGTAAGTGGTATCTGCTTTTTATTATATTTATTCTCTAATTCACTATGTATCTTATCCTTACTTTAAATCACCTTCACCCGCATTGCATCCTGGTCAAAACCCAGACACGTGGGAACAAACCTGAGTTTACAGCAGTGGTATGAAAATAGACCTTACATCGACACTAACACTTTCTTTGATTGAAACGTAACGATACAGAGAATCTCATAAGCTAAATAGACAGATTTTCCGACGAGATATTCCTGTTGCCCCAGGGAAAGGGTGTGTTCACGTGTCAGACAGAGAGTCATTCAGACGTGCCTATGTCTGAATGAAAGAGTCGCAGACGGCGAGAGATTAAAAATGCGCCGGAGATGAAGATTTATGCTTTACCTGCATGTGTTTTTTGGAAGTGAATCAGTATGCTAATGAGGCATAGTCTGTAATCCTCTTACAGCTAATCTCACAGAATTCTCCCAGTCTAGGCTTAGGATGCTAACAGGCAAGCCTGAGTGAGCACA